CTCTGTCCCCAAAAAAATAAATAAAAGTTGAAAAAAAAAAAAAATAAAGTCAGTAATGTAACTATTGTTCTTAATTAAAAGTGTATGATTTGGAAAGAAGCCCCCAGCCACAGTTTGCTATCAGTACAAACACTGAGGAGGAAGACGTCCCACATACCCAGTCCTCTAATGAAAGCAAGGACCACAAGCAGGGACGGACAGGAGGCACAGCGGCGCCCCCACGCCCTGCAGGCCTCCAGCCCTCCACCTTCTGGGGACAGAGCCCACACACAGCCGCTTCCTGGGGAGGCCGGCGGTGCCGGCGTTCACGGGTCCACGTTCCCTCTGCCACATTGCCCACAGACGCGCATCTCCGTACGCGGATGCCAGGACTCGGACTGCGTGTATTAAAGCACGGGGTCACCAAGAGCTCAGAGAAGCTCGGATTTTTAACTTAGGTATTTTCCAACACGTTGCAGCAACAGCAGCGGCCACGGTGGCTGGGAACGCGTGGCCCTAGCGGGTGATGGCGTGGCAGCCACTGAGCAGACGGAGCCTCTGTCCTGTCTTTACTGCCACTGGGGGGTCCCTTGCGGGGACAGCCTGTCTGCCTCCACCCACGTTCCTCCTGAGCTCTTTAACTTAAAACAGCCTGGTGATCATTCTTCAGATCTCAGACAGCGGCCTTTGTCCCAAGTACAAGTGTTAGCCTGTATCTTTTGACTTTGATTACGGTACTCCGGGCTGTCTAGAAATTTCAGTTTCATAAAGTTAAATTTTTCTCTCTTTACGTTTATTTACTCATTTTCTGAGAGGGCGCACAAGCGGGAAGGGGCAGAGAGAGAGGGAGAGAGAATCCCAAGCGGGATCCACACTGTCGGCGCACAGCCTGACACGGGGCTCGAACTCACAAACCACGAGGTCACTGAAACTCATGACCTCAACCGACTGAGCCATCCAGGCGCCCCGAAGTTAAAATTTTCTATCTGTAGTTCCAAAAATTCTGTATTTCCTATTTGATTTGTGAGGCTTTTTGCCACTCCAGATCATACAAGTATTTTTAAGTTTCTATGCTACAAAATACAACAGCGACTATGCACAGCATGTCCGTGTGGTTCACAGATTATACAGAACAGGATAACCTTCCTCTTCTTGCAGAGTGTTGTGGACGTCACATTGCCCACTAGAGTAAACCGTGTACAAACAGAAGCTAGCTCCAGCGATCCCACTCCCGGGTGCCCCCCCCCAAACTGAAAGCGGGGCCTCAGACACCCCCGTGTGCACGGCAGCAGATTCACAGGAGCCCGCAGGTGGAAGGGACCCGAGTGTCCACCGTGGACGAGCGGGTAAACGCAGCGGTCCGTCCACACGGCACGACGTCCCCCGGCCTCGCGGGAGGGAGACGCCTGCCACGCGCGGAGGAGCCCCGAGGTCGCGATGCCCGGTGACAGAAGCCGGACGCAAAAGGACAGGTCCGGTGTGACCCCCACCCTCTCGAGGTCCCCGGAGCCGTCATGTTCACAGAGGGCAGACAGACAGAGGGAGCAGGGGAGGGGACGGGGACCTGGTGTCTGATGGGGACAGACCTTCCTTTCGGGGGGACGGGACGGGAGAGTCCTGGGGACAGAGCGGGTGGGGGGGTGGCTGTGCGTGGGGTGAGCATGCTGGGTGTTCCTCAACTGGACACCTGAAAACAGTTCACACGTTTTACGTGACGTGTGGATTTCACCCCCATCTTACAGAAGGAAGGCTTCCACGCAGCGCCAGTCGCCAGCCTCCACCGTTAGTGGCGCTTAAATACAGCTCCGCCAACGGGGCCGGGAGCCGGCAGCCCCAGCAGGCTCAGTGGTCTCCTGGTCTTGACAACCGCCTGTGCGATGTGGGGAGAGGCTGGGAGGGGGTCCCTGCAGCCGGCAGGAGGCGGGTGCACCCCGGACCCGGGCGCCAACGGGACAGGAGCGCTGCTGTGGGGCCGCGTGCACTCAGGGCCCGGACACAGGAAGAGTCCAGCCTGACTCGGGCACCCCCCCCAACCCCTGCAGCCCTGAGCCCGCCACTGGGAGCCCCCTGCCGGGTCCGCCCCGATCGGCATCCTGCAGGGCGGGCTGAGGGGGAGCTGGACGGACAGCAACAGGCGACACCTGGCACAGGTGACCACGGATCCCGTGTGTCCGGCCCGAGAAGCCAGAGCCTGGCCGAGTCGGAAGCCTGGTTGGGGGGAGGATGGCACTGGCACATTCCTGGCTGGCAGGGGGTTGGGACCCCAGGAGCCTGTGCAGGTCTAGGAGCAAGGGGAACCTTCCAGAGTGGCCACACACGCTTTGAGGATCCGCGGAAGAGTGGGGGCCCAGCGGGCAAGGGGATGAGATGCCTGTGCAAAGGCCCTGTGGCAAAGAAGAGGGTCTAGGTAGGATGACAAAGAGGCTCCGGAGGGCACTGGGGGCGAGGTACAACAGGGTGAGGAGGGCAGTCAGGAGACACAGACACGGAGGCTGGTGCCCGTGAGCTGTGAGGACACAGTGTCAGAGGACTGCTTGTGACCATCCGCTGGAGAGACCCAGGGATGGAGGTAGAGATGATGAGGCCCGGCTCCTGGGGACAGAGCCAGCCTTGGGGACGCCTGACCCGAGGAAGGTGGCAGGACACAAGCAGCTTCTCACGGGGTCAGGGGGGACGCTCGAGAGGAGAGGAGCTGCAGGGGAAACAGGGCACCTGCCGTCCAGGAGCGGGGCGGCACCACGGGCGGGCCTGGGCAATGGTGCCGGGACCAGCCGAGGGAAGGGGTCCGTGTGCCACAGCAAAGCGCCGGGAGGCCGGGAGCAACAGAACTGGGGCCACAGAGGGGGCACTGGCAGAGGCCCAGGGGAGGAGACGGCAGAGCCTGTGCGTGCCCGCCTGGTGGCCTCTCTTTTCTCCTTGTGGTCACCTGCTGACTGAACGGCAGAGGCCAGGGGAGTAGTCAAGCTTTGCAAGAGCGGGTGGGAAGGGGTGCGTGGGCGGGAGAGGGGAGGGCTGAGATGCCCCGACCCCGCAGCAGAGCCTAGCACCCCTCCGCAGCAGAGCCGGGAAGCCAGGGGCTGGCCGGGAAGGGACAGCTGGGCATTTGCAGAGTGGCGTTTCCAGGGGGCCTGGGTGACAATGGGGCACAGGCCCTGGGCCAGGAGCTGGCGCTCCGGGAGGCAGGGGACAAGCCGAGCCTGGTCTGGCCGCGCACAGGAGTGCTGGGCACGGCGGCCGTGGGGCTGTAAGCACTGGTTTCCTAATTGTTTTCCGTCAGTCCTACATCGCGGTCCCACTAAGAGTCCTGATCCTTCCACGGCACATTAACTGGCTGTAGGTCAAGGACGCCGTGTGGGTTTGCTTTCATACGCTCGGCTGGGGGGTCGGGGGGGGGGGG